AAAATATATATTGGTACATGATTGTGCTCTGATCAGACCATATATTGCGCTGATGTGCAAATTCCAGTTGTCTCCTTGTTCCACCCTCTCAGCTTATACGACTGTCTGCCAAGGTAGGTGTATGAAATGACATGATAAAAAAAAAAAGGCTTGGGGGGGGGGATTGTGCTGATGGCCACCTGTAGCCTCCTCATGCATTAATGATGGCACAAAGGGCAGCCAATGAAAATCCTTCCAAAACCTGATACGCTCCAATAAAAGGATGGAGCATCGAAGACTGAACTACCCGAGGTGATCCACATCCAGAGGAACCACGATGAAGCTTCACTTTGTCCTTGTTCTGATGCTTGCAGGTGAGTTTTAATTTTTCCTTAGTCATGAGCTATTTCGTCTGTGTGTGATTCATCAGATGGGATAATTAAGCAAAGGTCAGAGAATAAAATTCACTCAGGATCCAGATGTGAACTGCAGCTGCTTCCTTGTGTTCGGAGCACTTAGGTGATTTCTAAACCTGAATCTGACATGTATGCTGTCACCTCACAACAATGTCTACTCTTCTTACGTTTTAGACGCTGCATGGGGGGCCATCGAGAAGAGGATTGTTGGAAGTAAGTCCTGTGAGAAGGAGAGGCAGTACCACGTCCAGATAGAGTCTCTTCAGAAGGGGAAGTCCTGCGGCGGTGCTTTGCTTAACACCCACTGGGTCGTCACTGCGTCTCACTGTGCAGAACAGTAAGAATCCACTGGTTTCCCACATAACAGAGTTTTCATGTGTTTCATCTCTCTGACAGCCACTGATTCACTTTGGCATGGATATTGTTCAACTGACAATATAGATATTAGCTCTTGTTGCTGCTTATATGGGGGCAGGTATCAGCAACTCTCTGAACCCCAAACAGTGTCTGGATGTTTAGTCGCTAAGTTGCACCAAGGAGCACAGAAATTTTTGTTTTTTCAAGAAAAAAGTTGAAGCATTTTATTTATTTATTTATTTATTAATTTTTGGTGAATGACTAGAATAGAGTGATGTTAATAAAACGGGTTGGGGTAAATTTAGTAAAGTGTAATGATTAAAAACAGATTATTCGCTCATGAAATGTCAGAAATTTCCGAGTTGACTTTTTATTCTATTGTTGCAGTTACTGGCTCTGATAAGTGGTGCCATTTTATTAAGATAACGTGTCTTTCAAAGCTGCCAAAGGAGGTTCAGAGAATTAAAAGAAAAATACACAATCAGTAAAACAATGAAGCAGATTAATTGCATTTTTCATTTGTACTTTGTATCACAATACAGTCCTCTCTTCTTTTTTTTATTTATTTTTTTTGCAGGGTTGTCAAAGTGACACTTGGCTTAAACACCGATGCGTTCAGTACTCTTAAAAAGATGTGGTCTTTGGTGACAGGATCGTCCAATAATTTAGAGCAAAACATTAAAACCGAACAGCAGTTTACCTTCAAAGATGGGGACAATACCCATGACTTTATGCTGATAAAACTGAACGAGGCCGTGCCCGCTAAACTTCCCACCATCACGCTTCCTCCTGTCGGCTGTCAAAGACCAGAGCTGAACCAGCAGGTTGAAGTTGGAGGCTGGGGAGCCAAGACGGCCGACGTGACGAGTGAGGAACGCTCAAAAACTTGATTCACACTGACAATAAAAGTCACTTTTCTCACGCTTTGCTTTCATTCCTCAGAGGCCAAAAAGCCTGACCGTTTGAAGTGTGCCAACACAGCCATCACTGGATGTGGCGACAACGATAAACCTGGTGATAAGTACTACAGCGATGAATCCACCACCATGTGCGCCTTTAAACCCGGTGTGGAGGCCTGCCATGTAAGCAAGCTGTTTTATTATCTTGATTATTTGCCCCCAAATACGTAAGATGACCCCACTTCTGTCTCGGTCTCTGTCTTCCAGGGTGATGCGGGTTCAGCTGTGGAGTACAACGATGTCTTACATGGGATTATTGTAAGCGAGCCTGTTGATAAGTGTGCAAACCCCATCGTCATGCTGGATGTCTGCTACTACAGAGAGTGGATTGATAAAACCATGCGTGAAAATGTATGAGTAAACCACAAAAATGTTATGTTAGTCGAATATAAAACTAACAAGATGAGGAAGAATGTGTGGTTAGACTGCAGATTTATTTAAAAAATTACTTCAGAAGTGCATTTAGGACCACTGTGCCATCTAAATTACTTTAAACATTGATTTTAAATTCTAATTAAATAAATGTTGTCTGTCTGAGTTTCTTCTGTAAAACCATCCCCCCCCTCCATGAATAAAGAGATATGATTGGCCAGAGTTTGTGTGTTATCTCTTCAAAGTACATCTGAATATCAGAAGTCTCATTTCCATAACAGTTTGACCATTTTCAGTCGACTTTCACTTTACAATGTCAAGCTGAATGCTGCTATGAGACAGAACAAAAGCACAAAGACCCACAGTTAAAGTCAGAGCCACTGACAGAAACACACTTTATTTGTGTGTCACTCGAGCACCACTCAAGACCTCCTCGTGTGCACCATTTAACACAACAAACACCGAAACAGAAATTCTCTCAGCATGTTTATTGTGGATGTTTTTGTTTTAGTTATATTTACTGTTAAAGGTGCAATGTACGATATTGTCATAGTGGCTTTAAACACTAAATCTACCTCATTGTTGATCCACAATGTAACACAATAATGAATGGATGAAACCAAAGTGTGAGGTCACAGCACGGCACAATAATGTGTATTTGTCTGTGTGAACCATCCATCCATTATCTATACACCGCTTAATCCTCACTAGGGTCACGGGGGGCTGGAGTCTATCCCAGCTGACTCAGGGTGAAGGCAGGGGACACCCTGGACAGGTAACCAGTCTATCACAGGACTACACTTAGAGACAGACAACCAAGCACACTCACATTCACACCTACGGACAATCCAGAATCACCAATTAACCTCAACATGTTTTTGGACTGTGTGGGAGGAAGCCGGAGAACCCGGAGAGAACCCACGCTGCACGGGGAGAACATTCAAACTCCACAGTGTCCTCACCTCACGCAAACCGGCGACCTTCTTGCTGCGAGGCAACGGTGCTAACCACCGAGCCACCTTGCAGCCCCTGTGTGAACAAGACATGTATTATAAAAAGAGAGTATGTTTCTGTCGGACATATTTGTTCTTGCATCTCTCCTATGCAAAAAAAAAAGCACATATAATTAGAAATATTTGAAAATTGATGTGAAAAAAAGATTCATTTCACAGGAAATTTACTCTGCATTGTGTGTGAGGTTGCTCAATTTACTGAATGTCTAAAAATGGTACTTGAAGCATTACATTCACCATTTTTCACTCTACAATGTAAACTATTGCCAAGTGCTTGCCCAAAGTGAATCCAAAGGAAACTGGATTTGTTGGGTTTCTCTGCATAATTTTACCTCTTTACCTTATCATCTGAAGTGCCTGTTGTGAGTTGGCACTATATAAATTATATTAAGGTGAGAGAGTGAACAAAGGAGTAATTTAGAGTGCCCCAAACTGATGTGATTGCATTAATTCACCGAAAAAGTGAAGTTCTTTTCCAGGAAATGAGTTAAACACACAGTAAAGCCCACGTGAGTCATCCAAGACATGTGACAGCTGTGGCTTTTTGGTTATCTGGAGTTTCTAATATTTGTTTTAAGAGGGAATGGGTGCAGATGGTTCTCTGGCATGAAAAGCATCAGTGCCACTCCTTGCATGGATTTCACTGGTACATGCTTTACTCTGCACTGACAAGATCACAGACTTTCTGAGGTTGTTCCCTGCAGGTTTCAGTCCGATGCCATGCAGTACTCACACGGGTTTGGTTCCTTAGTTACACCAAGATGTCATGATCTTCTCAGATGCACCGATGTTTGGATTTGTTGGCTTTGTTGCTGTAATTTTGTGAGGTCTTCACCTTACTATGCGGAGTGCCTTGGGATTACACATGTTGTGATTTGGCACGATATAAATAGATCTGAATTGAACTGAATTAAATAAACACATGGACACAAAGGAAGGTGTCAGACGGTTTAATGATATGCACCCAGCACCACTACAGCATTCCTTTCAAGCCTTCACAAGACTGCTCTTGGGCCAGCTTCCATCTGCCAGTTTTTTGCACAAAAGCACCGTGGCTGGACACACACACACACATAGACACACACACATATATGCACACACACCAAATAACTCTCACAGAGGCAGATGAGGATATCGTTACTCGTTTAGGTCCAGTTGTGAGTTCTCCGATCTGCTTTCCAATCTGGTGCCTCGGACAGTCCTTGACATGACTTTACATTTGGGTGTATCACACAAACTGCTCAGACGTGGACTCGGTCGGGGCCATTGCACACTTTGTTCAGGTGAGGGAGACTGTCATGTCGCTGCGCAGAACAGAATCAGATTATCTTGACCACGGGGAAATACTTGTGAGCTGAGAAGTCAAACTCCGGCAGCACCTGGGGATGGAGAGGGTTTTCTGTTTTACTTCAGTATAGTTTTCACAAGATTGAACAGCTTCTACTGGAGACACCACATTAAGATAAGCCGACTGTAACGCCTTGTGATCAAACACCACTGAATACACATCAGTCACTTTTTAAAAAAACACTTCTTCCAGATTCTTTATCTGTTATAGGTGTGTCTTAACACAAATGGCTGGTATTAAGCAAATGATAATAAGAAAAAGAATCCAATGTGTGTACGATGTTACCTTGGTCTCCTTTTTGTGTCCTCCTGCCAGGAGCTTCATAACTACAATGTTGGGTTTGGCCACCTTCAGAATACGGTTCACCTGTTGTCAAATAATATAATAACTGATTACTGGGAGTCACGAACAATGGAGAAGGTGCGGCAGAAAAATATTTTGGCCACAGGAAACTATAAAGTGCCTTCAGTGAATCATGTAGCCAGAAGCTACATATGACAGAAGCTTTCTATGACACTGTGGTGGGGAGCGGGGAGCACAGACAGGGACAGAAAGAGGCTAAATAGACTGGTGAGGAGGGCCGGTTCTGTTCTGGACTGCTCCCTGGACTCCACAGAGGAGGTGGATGAGAGGAGGACGTTAGCAAAGCTCACATCCATCATGGAAAACCCCTCTCACCTGCTGCATGACACTGTGGGGGCTGTGAGCAGCTCCTTCAGCAGCAGACTCAGACATCCTCTCAGCAAGAAAGAGCACTACCACAGGTCATTCCTACCAACCGCAGTACGACTTTACAACTTCAGCATCACGAGCTGATGTTGACCAAACTGGCAAAATTGACAGTTTATGGTCATGAATTCACTTTTGCACAATCTATTTTTATTTTTCAGTGTAAATATTGTATGAGTAATTATTGTTGTTTTCTTGTACTTTCTTTCTCTATGTTTGGATGCTGCTGTGCTGTTTAAATTTCCTCCATCAATAAAAAATTATTCTATTCTATTCTAAGCTGTTTTTTCTTGCAGCAACTATCTTTCAAGCGCATAAAGTTCCACTGTTGGCCTTTATTCTGAAAAACACAGGCAATATTCTTACTAAGCAGTTTACATTGGTAATGAAAACAAATACTGCACTAATATTTAGTTATACAGAGTTTGCAAGCAGCCATGCATACTCCAATTTTCCAAAGTTTTCCACCAGTGGCGCACTTACAACCATGTAATTTCTGCTTCCCTCATTCATTCAGCTACCTTCTTCATAAGGCCAGTGTTGCAATATTAACACACATCCAAAAACCTAACAACATTCAGTCTTTCATATTGTTTAAACGTGGCTGTGCTTCTCCTTCTGACCTGAAATATGTTCTTTTCTTTTGCGCATCTCTACTGCAGCCTTGCAAACACACAGAGCCGACTGTAAACAGGAAACAGGCACGTGTGTGGCGAACTGCAGTAAAAACCTCAACTGAAACGCATATTCTGAATGCATGTTTCCACGTCCAAAGAATGCTCATAAAACCTGAATCACATCAGATTGACCCACGTGTTGACCAGTAAATGTTACACTAGGAATGAGGCCTTATTTGGAATGTCCAAACAGAACATGCTGTTTACATGAGCCGTACCGTTTTGAAATAATAGTGGGACATTCGTCACTGCAGCCACATTGCACAGGCAGACTTTGAAAACAAATGGCTCATATAGAAGTCCGGTTAGAACCCATTTATGGAGTAAGATCACAGATATATAATGCAAACTTTAATTCCATTCATCTAATTTAACTATAAAATGATCCTTGCTTTACTTTTTATAAATGCACTTATCTTTGTGTTTTGTGTTGTGTTTTTGCTGGAGATGCTGCAATATAATTTATCTTTAATCATGTGTGTCAAAGCAATGCCTTGGACTTGAGGGGCTACATTGCTTTTACCTAATTTACCAAAGTATAGTAGAGTTCTAGGTAAGAAATGAATTTGTGAATTTGAAGTGACACTTGAAGTTCTTTAGTAAATAAAATCCTACAGCATAAAACACCAAACTGTCGTGCTGTAGGACCACAATATTGTTTTGCAGTATTGTATTTTCTGACCTCAGGGTCTGGGCTGGGCACGTTTTCTAGGATGAGTTTGGCCTGCTGAAAGTGTTTGCTGGCTGCTAGGTAGAGGTCAGCAGAGCCGGGTGGAGGATTGTACTTCTTCAGATCAGACATCTCCTGCAAACAGACAACAAGAGGAGCAAAGTCAGAGAGGACAGGAAAAGTGGGTTGTGGATGAAAGAAGGACAGAAACCATGGAGGGCCTATTGAAGATACTAAACCCACACAGACAAACGGTACCTTGAACTGGATGTAGTGCACAGGTGGGGGCGTGACCACACTGTTGAAGGGGGCGAAGCGATGCTCATAGCGAACTTGTTCACTGTCCAGTTCAAACTGAGGTTTACGAACCTTCCCGTCCATATCCAGAGCTACCATGGTCTGAAGAGAGAGAGACAGAAGCAAGGAAAGGACATACATAGCTTAATATACCACACTGGGACAAAAAGAGGTGAGGAGGGGTCATCGTTTTTTGCCTACCTTGTACATTCCAGCACACATGTTCTGGTATGCTTGACTCATGGTAATCTCCTTGCTGAGAGGACGAACTGCAAAAGAAACCCAAACATCAAGGTGTCACTTCCACAATGAAGGGGAGCATTTCTGATTGTGGTAAATCATAGGAAACACTAATTCAGGAAAGGACAATGCAACAAAATGTACTTTTCTTCTTCTTCTTGGTCTTTTTGCTGC